TGTGTGTGTGTGTGTGTGTGTGTGTGTGTGTGTGTGTGTGTGTGTGTCTATGTAGGAAAGCCGAGTAGTAGTTGACGCTTAGCAAAATATGTCATTAACTTAAAAACCATGCTACATGGTGAGAACTTGATATTTTGTTGTTGTTGTTGTTGTTGCAAAGTAAATATTTATTGCTAATTGATTTACATAGTGTCTGCTTAGAGCAACTCACTCTCATAGGAAAGACCTCTCAGAATGAGTACTAGCCTAAAATAACAAAAGAGGAGTATGGGAAAGAGGGTGGGTCTCTTAAGCTGGGTGAGACTAGAAAAGACAGCTGGGCTCCACCTCCAGGAGGCACTGGAGGTTATTGCTGATGGCAAGTTTCGGACAAACACATGGAAGGAAAGAGTGGTCTGACTTCATCATCCTGCCTCCTTGAAACTCATTGTAGAGTCACAATGTCCATTTTGAGCGACTCTAGAGCAAAGTAGAGGACAATCTTTGGACATGATGGAAATGACTAATTCCTGAGTGACAGAAAACATTGGAAAATGTAGCCTTTCACCTCTGACCCAACACTTTGTTTTCATGGGAAGCAGAATAAGAGGATGGGAATTAAATTACAGCAAGGACACTTTGGGTTAAGAATTGAGTGGCATTTTTTTTTTCACTGAAGTTAATAAAAAGGTAAATGTTACCTTTTAACATTAATGTTTTGAATCACTACTCTAAGAATGTGTTTTCTGGAGACTTTTAAGATGACTTAAGATAGAGGTTTTACAACATTTTACTGTCCCGTTTTCCTTTTAATATAGTTTTTTTTTTTAATTAAGTAGTAAAATGTTAAAGGTTGAAATTGAATGTTGAATTTTCTCTGGCTTAAGTTGTTTGCCCTTAGACTTTTTTTTTTTCAGAAATATTTACAGTTAATACAAAAGATATCCCGGCTATTATGAAATTGAAAGAACAACTTCATGTTCCATGCTAACTCTTCTGTGTCCTTAAGATATATTTCTGTATAATTCACCCAGTGAGATTACTGGATTACTGGGTATGCCTTGGGTGGGTTGTATCAGACAGCATATCAATTTTGTCATTTTTATCATTTAGAAATAAGGTGTGTGTGTGTGTGTGTGTGTGTGTGTGTGTGTGTGTGTGATATTTTTAAATTCCAAATGCAAATTGAACCCAAGTATATTCAGATTTTTTTATGTGCCAGAATGTCAGTGTTAACATCATCCAAATACTGAGTAACATTAAGCCCAACATCACCATGGAGTGTTAACATTTGACAATTGTGAATTGCCTTTACTAACCTGAAAAGTAATATGGCATGGGAATAGTTTGTGCACAAGTTTTTCATATGTTTTTTCATCAAACAAATGTGGCTGTGATTAAGTACTCTTAGGCAAAGAGTCGTGTAATGAAAAAAATTTACATACGTATGAAATAAGCACATTGATTCCCAGGCATGAAACAAAGCATATCATCTGTTTCTTTGTATTAAGATTATTTTTTAACAAGATACCAAATAGTGGTTTTGAAGTGTAGACTTGTCCATGAACATATTTTCTCTTCAATACTGTTTCATTTACTTGTAAAATGCAACATTGTCTTTGAAAAAGGCTGCATAGATCTCTGCAAACTTTATATTAATCTCAGGAGACATAGCAGGACTAGGAAAATATTAAGTTGCTTCTAATTTTATTTTTCCCTGAGGTATTTTAAAGCTTTGTTCAGCACGTTTAGAGCACGTTTTTAAAAATAAGTTTCCACTTTCATTGATAATGTGCTCACTAATTATAATACAATAATTCATAAATAGGGTAATATTTTGGGTAAGGAATTTGTTCATTGTCCACCTTTGTGCATGCATATGCAAAATGCTTAAACATCTATAAAATTGGGTCCAAATGTATATAAATGAAAGGAAATAAAAGAAAAGCACGCAGGAAAATGACATAGTTTTGATATTTTAACGGGGGATTTTCATTAGGGAACTCAGTTTCTCTGACACACACCTCTGGGTTGGATTTAGCAATTTTCATAATGGGTTTGTGGCCCCACCAGGAGATGAAAGTTGTGAGCAGAATGAAGGGTTTGCTACCAAAGATTGAGTCTATGACAGCAAAGTGGCAGAAAAGTGGCACCCTGAGGTGGCAAAGCTGCACTGTATAATATAAGGAGCCTCTATACACTTTTTGTATGGGTTTTAATTTTAAACATTGACAGCTAGCACTGTGGGTGTTGACAGAATATTCTACAAATGGCCATCATTTAAGGCAAATTGAATTTTCTTCTCACAGCTTACACAACTTTCTTTGTTGGTCATTAGCACCCACTCTTCATATGTCAAAGGAAGACAGTTCTGAAATAAAATATATTTGCCCCGATGCCAGCAGGTTTGACTTTAAGTGCTATTTTCTGATAGATGTGATAGTGACAAAACAAAGTCATTCAATTAAAAGTTCGCCTGGACTATTTGAAGACTCGAAGAACAATGTGTGCTTCCATCCTTTCCCGTTAGGAGAATATGATTATTTGTTTTATTTCCCCAAGGGCTTTGAGATCCTTGGAGATCCTGTGGGGACAGACTTGAATGCGAGATACCGAATAGCTGTCTGTCCATAGAATGGATGGGGTGAATGATGATAGCCCTGCTGTAGGGCTGATGGACAGAGAAGCGACGTTTGCAATGCTAGTGGCACTGTCCTTAGGGGAGTTAGGGAAAGGAAACATTTGAACACCATGTTGATACCCTAATTATGTTCAAGTTACATATACTATGGTTGGTTCAAGTTACAGAAGCTTTCCTCTGAGGTAAGGAAATTACGTCCTGGACATTTATGAAGTGAGAACATGGCTATGTCAGAGTTGTGAATACTTTTATTTCAGAGTACTTCTCAGGATATTCTTCATTCAATGAAAAGATCTAGCCAGGCTCTTTTCTCTAGAACCCTGTATGAAAATAGTATTACACATGCATGACTAATGTGCTAGGCAACCTTATCTTCATCTATAGATAGACATCGTAGGCCACTTCACAGAATGATAGAAGTATAGAGCCAGAAGATATTTGGCATTTTCATTCAAATACCTCATATGGAAGAAAGTGAGCCACAGAGAGATCAACAGATCCATGTGAGGTCATAAAATCAGATAACGTAATTGCTAGGTGCTAGCTCTCTGGCTGAGCTCTCTAGACTCCCTGTCTGGTGTTTGCTCTTTTACACCACACAGTACAGAGCAGGCTATGGCTGGAGGTAGGGATGTTTACAGTCACAGATCTGACTGTATCATTCCCTAGATTAAAACCCTCCAAAGCTCACTGGCACCTTCTCAGGACAGCACCCACATTCATTACGTAGCTTGCAAGGCCATACCCATCTGGGTCTTTCTTGGACCCAGTCTGACTTTTTAGTCTAATTTTTTTGCCACCTTCTACCCACAGAATTCTTGTTCCCCATATGCTATTTTGTGTGTGTGTGTGTGTGTGTGTGTGTGTGTGTGTGTTCGGGTCTGTGCAATTTCTGGCCTTCTTTTCATGTACTTTTTTGCCTAAACCACTCTTCCCTACCTTTTCACAAAGCTAGCCCTCCCCACCTTTCCAATTGATCTTTTCTTAGGCTGCTTCTGTGCCCTCTCTCTGTGCTTCCCCTTATGAGAGCCCTACCAGGTCATACATTGCATGTGTTTATTTATTTATATGTCCCCTGCTCGATTGTGATTAAGAATGATGTCTCTTTGCTCATCCCTGACCTCTCTCTATTTGGTACATAGAAGGTCATCTATAAATAAGTTAGGATGATTGATTGGAGAAATTTAACGGAAGGCAACAGTTGGGGAGGGTTTTCCCTCTTTATTTATCTCTAAGTGCTATTTTTTTATATTCCCCCCCCCCGCCCCCAAACCCTTCCTCAAATCTATTGTCCCTGCTTAAATCTCCTCCAATCATGATTTCCACAGAATGATGACCAAATTCTAGATGTTTATGTTATGGTTGCAATTGTGCCCTCTTGTGGCACAGTTATGAAGAGTGCCAGCCACTGGGGCAGGCTACCTGTCTTCAAAGCCCAGTCTCCTACTTGCTAGCTGTGAAGTCTTAGGCTTCTTCCCTGCCTCAATTTCCATATCTCTAAAATGGGGATAATAACAGTAACTCATAGGGTTGGAGTGAGGCTCCAATAAGATCATCCATGAAAAGCCCTGGACTAGGATTGGGCTTTTGGTCACTGTCATTAAGTATTAGCAACTGTTATCTTCTTGAAGGAAGATGAGTGTTGGTGAGCATAATTAAGTGTGATCTTCCATTTATTACTTTCAGCCTTAAAATGTTCAGTTCGAGTGAAAATTATATTTGCATTTGTAAGAAGTTTGGTAAACATCATCATTTCCAACCACCTGAATCACACCTGTGGCATAAGCTTTCTTTACCTGCGACACATGTACCTGCAACCTCTGCTCAGACCTGGTGGCAGTGATCTGCCCAGTAGGAAATGAAGCTTTCGAATCTCATACTTGCAAACTTCAGCATAGGCTGTGACTGCATAAGCTAAGCAAACAAGGGGTGGGGGGCACTCATTCAGCACCTTGAACCGTGTGCACTGACTTGGTATGGGAGCTCAGAGGCTTACCTGGTATCAATTTACCTCTGTGTGCGGAGAAAAGAGTGCATGGTAATTAGCCTGCCTGTAAAATGTTGGACAAGTAGAGGCAAGTCTATCCTAGAACTGAATCTTATGTAAATAATTTTTCTGTCTTCTCAGACAGCTCAGCTCTCTCAAGCCAGCGGAATAGTTTCCCGACTTCCTTTTGGACCAGCTCTTACCAGCCCCCACCTGCACCCTGCTTGGGGGGTGTTCATCCTGACTTCCAGGTCACTGCACCCCCTGGCACCTTTACTGCAGCCGACCCCAGCCCCTGGCCAGGACACGGCCTGCATCAGACTGGCCCAGCCCCTCCCCCGCCCGCATCCGAGTCCTGGCACTATCCTTTGGCATCTCAGGTGAGCCCATCCTACAGCCACATGCATGATGTGTACATGCGGCACCACCACCCCCACGCCCACATGCACCACCGCCACCACCACCACCGCCACCACCACCCTTCTGCTGGCTCTGCCCTGGATCCGTCCTATGGGCCCCTGCTGATGCCATCAGTGCGTGCAGCCAGGATTCCTGCTCCCCAGTGTGACATCACAAAGACAGACCCGACTACAGTCACCACTGCTACCTCAGCGTGGGCCGGAGCCTTTCATGGAACCATGGACTTAGTGCCAAGTGTGGGGTTTGAAACAGGTGAGCTGGAGAATCTCTTCCTGTCTAAAAAAAAGAAGGGAAAGCAAGGAAACAAGTATAAAAATATGGAGGATGTTTGGTGAATGCTGTGCAGTATTTTTCTCTTCTGTGTAATGTTAAGCGTTGCCGATATGTTTATGGAGCTAACTACTTTGCAGTAATCTCTCCACTCCTGCAGGAACCAGTATGACTGGCCTGAGAGAGGTCTCCGAACTTTTCTCCCATTTCTTAAACTAGTGATCTTCCTTTGAACTGGAATCTCTCATACCCTATGTTTACAAAGAGTTGAGCACATTCTGTAAGTCTCCCCTGTCTCTGTGCTCCATACCATGTGGAATGCCTAATAGAATTCAGAGAGAGTGTGCTTTGGTGACTTTTTCTTCTGTCCTTTTTGTCAGGCCTTATGATTTGTAGAACAAACTGCCTTCTGGATTATAACCCATGGAATATAATCATGGTCTTTTGAAAAGAGTTAGGGAACATATTTTAAAGGAATGGATTTCCCTTCCTTCCTTTGCCTTCTCCTCTTCCTCCTCCCTCTCTTTCTCTCTCTCTGTTTTAAATAACACGGGACTTAAAAGACTGCTATAAAGTTTATATTCAACAGATTTCAATAAAATTGCTAAGGAACATTTAGCTCCTCTCTGGAATTCACTAGTTCTTAAGGAAGTGTGTGAAGTTTGGTCTTAGTTTTTAGACCAGATGACTCATATTAATAGTATTAATAGTTCTGAGTTCACAAAAATCACAGGTATCAGAGGCTAAAAATACAAACCAAGTCATTGATTGCATCCCCAGAGTTTACATCCCAAAGTCACCCACCTCCACCTCCAGTGCCAGGTGCTTGTCCTAGACTGTCCAGACATTTAAAGGAACTCACTCTTTTCTTAGTTTTTCTAGTTTTTCTTCTATTCTTAGTGTGCAAGATCTTTCACCTGAATGCTGGTTCCCAGCAGAGAAGTCCCCAGAGTAATAAATGCTTACCATCAAGTTGCATTCACTCTGACATAAGTGAACATTCTTATCTTAAGTGGTTCTCCCTGGTGAGCTTTCAAGTGTTGGTCATTGCTTAAACACACCCAGTTCAGCTTCTTATTAAGTCCCTGGGTTCAAGCTGCTTTTCTTTTCTTTTTTTTATTGTAGAGAAAGAGAGTGTGTGCAAGTGGGGAAGGGGGCAGAGGGAGAGAGAAAGAATCTTTTTTTGTTTAATTTTTTTAATGTTTATTTACTTTTGAAGAGACAGATGAGCATGAGCGGGGGAGGGGCAGAGAGAGAGGGAGACACAGAATCGGAAGCAGGCTCCAGGCTCCGTGCTGGACTGTCAGTACAGAGTCTGATGCAGGGCTCAAACTCACCAGTGGTAAGATCATAACCTGAGCCAAAGTGGGATGCTTAACCTACTGAGGCACCCTGAGAGAGACAGGGAGAGAGGGAGACGGAGAGAGAGAGAGAGAGAATGAGAATCTTAAGTAGGCCCTGCGCTGAGCATGGAGCCCCATGCAGAGCTCAATCTGATCCCACAACCCTGGGATCATGACCTGAACTGAAACCAAGAGTCAGACAGTTAACCACCTGAGCCACCCAGGCACCCCTCAAGTTGCTTTTCTAAAAAAGTATCAGGAGACTTGATTCTCTCTCTCTAGGAGAAGAGAATATGGTGGGGCTAATCACCACATACTTTCTTTCTTTGCCACATACTAACAGAATGAAGGCAGCTCTTAAGTGACTTGATGCATGGGGCCAGGTCTGATTAGAGTCCCAGTCTGGTAACTGCCATCACGGTCAGCCAGTCTGTGGAGGCTCTTCTCTATCTCATTTCTGGGATACTGTGTGGCCAAAGCTAACAGTGCTCTTCAAAGGCATAGAATCTTAGTAAGTCTGGGCTGCTGTAACAGAATACCATATACTGGGTGGCTCAAACAGCAAACATTTACTTCTCATAGTTCTGAAGGCTGATAAGTCTGAGATCAAGGTGTCAACTCATTCAGTGTCTGGTGAGGGCCTGTATCCTGGTTCATAGACACTATCTTCTCAGTGTGTCCTCACACGGAAGAAGAGACAAGGGAATTCTCCGAGATCTCATTTATAAGGACACTAATCCCATTAAAGAAGGCTCTGCTTTCATGACATAATCACTTCCCTAAAAATGTCCGCCTCCTCATACCATCACTTGGGGGTTAGGATGTAACATATGAACTTTGGGAGGGTCACAAACATTCAGGCTATATACCATCCTCTCTGTGCATTCCATAACATAAAGGGGAAAATGGACGTGATTGCCTGTTGCTCTGTTTCTAATTCTCTGTCACCTGTTACCCACTTTTGCTTATTTTTGGTATGAGCTTTATTCACCTACTCATTGTTCAGAATTTTGCCTTGAAACAGTCTCCTTGGGATGAAAAGTCATGCTATCTTTTGGAAGTGAAGGAGAGAGTGTTTTTATTTTTTTCTGAAAAACCTACAGCAGACCCATTTGGGTATAATATATAATAGTTCTTAGTACTTACTGGGTTGTGAATTAACATTTATTGAATACCTACTTTATAAGGTCTTGTCAGAGGCACTTTATTTGTGTTGTTGCTTTTAATTCTCAAACTAAATCTTAGTTGGTAGTTCCCATATTCATTAATAATGAGGAAACAAGGCTTAGTTTTCCTATTTGAAAACTGCTTTTTAAGTCTAAAATGTTCAACCTAGATTTAAACTAAAACCTTCCCCAAATCTAAGGAGTTGCTGCAGTAGCATCTCTGTAAATGTAGGTAAATTAGATTATTAAGTAAGACTGTTAAGTCAGACTGTTAATAGTTACTAATGAGAAATGAAGATTTACCTATTGGAAGTACATGGTGCTATTCTTTTCAGTGTGGTTTAGGATAATGCTCATGATTCATATCTGTCCCATAGTTTTGAAAACAAAGGCAAAGGAATAAAGCCGATAAAGATCACATCATTGATATAATTATTGACAAATTGGAGATCCTCAATTAGGTTTATTTCCACAATTGGACTTCTAGTATCCTCACCAAAGTTTAGATTCTGGGAGGTAGAATCCTAGGAAAAGTAGACTTCAGAGAAGATTCCCTTAGACCTACCTCTTCATTGTCACATAGTTTTAAGCCTCATTACTCTGAAAAGAGACTGGTAGCTGCTCGGATTTGCTTTGAAAAGCATAGTCTGTGGCATGAAGCTGGGTGATTGCCCTGCAAAGGACAGTGGCAGGAAGGGCACGCACCTGTCTGCATGGATGTTGGCCCAGAAAATGAGACGGTGGGAGGGGCTGAGCTATGTGTACTCACTGCATTCTCCTAAACTCAGGAGTCATATCAAATATCACATCTGTCTTCCTTTGGGAAGAGTTATAGAGGAGTGTTTTAGGTCAGTTTCCCCGAGAAACAGACTCTAAGATGCAGATTTGATTGGAGACAATTTGTGTGGTAGTGTTCTCAGGAATGCATCTCTGTGCAATGAGCGAGTTGGGCAAGAGAAATCTCATTGTGATTAAATTCAGCGAGACTTAGTGGGTTGTGTAAGGAGCTCTGGAATTGGGGTGATACTTTTTAATTGCACTATCTTAAGTTGAAGTGAATGGGCTTTTATACAACTACATTGACCAGTTATTGGATGTGTTTGTCTCTGAAAAGGGGACATGACTTTAGGCAAGGTGGCTTTGTTCTACTGAAGGCAATTCCCCAGTCTCAACATGGAATGGGGAGGGATCTGATGGCCCACAACAGTATCCAGTGCAGGGGGACAAGTACAGGAGGTAGCTACCTTTCCACTTTTCTAACACTTAAAAAGAACAAATGTTTCCATGTGATAGGTCCAAGCTAAGGATAAGACAATTGAAAAGAATGCAAAGTGGGTCCCTCTAAAGTTGATTGGACCAGGTAGCCCAAAGGAGTGGCTTAGCTCAGAACTCAGCATCAATGCTGGGTGGCTACTAAGAAGTTGGGGGAAGAACTTGTATTCAGGTGAGGCAGGTATGAAACTTCTTGAAATGCTGGTACCCAGGCCACCAAAATGGAGGTCATTTTCACATTCTGTTAGGAGGGAAATAAATTAATACCACTATTTTGAGAGCAATTTGGTGAAGGATATGACATTTGCATCAGGGGAAAGCTTTGATAATTTCAGGTGCATTTTTATTTTGCAGCCATTTAAAGAAATTAAGGAAATCTGGAATGTTGAAAATGACATAATGTTTAGAGACAAATATTAGAGTATCATGTATGGTATAATCCAAGAGTCTGCAAAACTTTTCTATAGAAGGCCTGATACAAATATTCAATGCTTTGCAGGGTCATACTATGTCTGTTACTACTCAACTCTGTCTTGATAGTGTAGAAGCAGTCACAGACTTACTTAGATAAAGGAAGATGGCTGTGTCCCAATAAAACTTCATTGATGGGCACTGAAATTTGAATTTTATGTGTCATGAAATGCTTTTCATGTATAATGAAATGCTACTCTTCTTTTTTTTAATTCCCTTCTTTCTCCAAAATGTAAACGTATAAATCCCATTTTCCATTCTTAGCTCATGGGCTACATAGGTAACACACAGTGAGACTGATTTGGCCCATGGGCTATAGTTTGCTGACCTCTAGTATAGTTCCATGTGTATAGTTTTTATCCGTCTGCACCCACACGTATGCATATGTGTACCTCCATTCCCTAAATAAAAATTATCTGGAAGTATATATCACAACTTTTAATGGTCATTGGTCCTGGTAATTAGTGTGTGGCCTGAGCTTTGAAGCCAGACTGCCTGGTTTTATAAGCAGAGCTCTATCACTTAATTAGCTACAGGACTTTATGCAAAGTACTGAACCTCCTTGGTGCCTCAACTTATCTTTAAAAGTTGCTTCATTGGGCTGTTTTGAGGATTAAATGAATTAATGAACTAAAACATTTACAAATGTGCTCTGATAATAGGTACTATATACATTTTAGCTATACAAGAGAAGGTGATCAGAGACTCACATTTTGTAGCTTTAAAAAAA